CCCCAAAACCCCAAAACCCCAAAACCCCAAAACCCCAGATCACGTATAAATTATTGAATTTTTTGATAATAACTATATTAGAAAGAAATAAATGTCAACCAGTCAAATCAAAAACCTTATCTCAGCTCCAATTGATGCCAATGAAGAAAGATCCGAGAAGCTTCTCTTATCAGATAAGCAGATTAACTCAACATTAGAGAATGACTCTTTCTTTGACGATGAAGACCTCATTGTTGACGATGAATGTATCAAGAGTAAGCGTCCCTCCTAATTTTTGCAGTTTTTAAGTTTTCACTATCATTGAAGCAATACTAATTAAACTATAGAACATTCAATCTGTACTTCAACCTTCAACTCTTCATCAAAGTTGATTAACGAGAAAGGAAAGTTTAAAGCACTCTATGGTGGCGTTAATCCTCTTTGTCCAGAGTCCAAAGAGATTAAAACACCTCCAAAGGCATTGCTAAATAACTCTGAGCCACTCATTGCTTTCAGAAGGAAAAATCTTTACGAAAGAAGTGATTGTGACTCTGAACAAAGTCAGGCTGACTTCAGTGATATCTACAGCTTAAGCAACTCCTCTGATGGTGAAAGCTTAAGTCTTGGTACTTTCAGAAGTCAGCTGATCTCTGAAAATTAAACCAAATCCCTTCATTGTACTTCGGTGATTTCTGCCCAAATCTTGCTTAAGGTGGAGTTAAAGTCAATAAACCCGTCTTAGCATTTTTGGCATTATGAGATCATATATAAAATCTAACGTAATCCTAATTATAAATACTTTGACCTAAAACGTCTTCTTTGTCAACTAAAAATGAAATTCACCTACTTTGTTCACATACCTTCATAAGGAATTTTGAAACAACCAAGGAAGGGCGGGCCAGTATGAATGAAAGCTTTTGATAGAGAAAATCCTCCTCTTTTCAAATGTTCCATCCAAAGTTTTATGAGAGGTTTATAAATTCCTAAAACACACGGTTTACTGCCCAGCATTAGTTCATTGAAGATCTCATTTGCGAACACAGTTACGATTAGGAGGTAGGTTGGTGAGATCATTCCTTCGTTAATTGCACCTCTGATAGCTGTTCGTGAAAATATTTGGAGTGTCAGCCATCTTTTCAACCTTGCTTATAATAAACCTTCTTAATTCCATCTATCTCATAAAATTTTCTCCAAGAAAGCACTCGTGGTTATACAGATTAGCGATTTTTGGATTGGAATCAAATGGTGGTATTTTAAATATTTCAGAATACTTCTCTAAAATAATTTATATCATACTTCTACGTTCATTGGTGAATATTTCTGGCTGTTTTATGGTTATCATAACTCGTCTTGGGCCCACCACTTTGTAATGAAACCTAAAAATTGCCTTCAAATCGCCTGAACTAAAATTCAAGGAGAGCTTCTTGCTTATTAATTCAAGTTAGCAACCCAAAAGTATGGCTAGCAAGCTTTCAGTTGATGAAATTGTATTTCATCCATCTTGCAAATCCAAATATAATTATTAAAAAACTTGCTAATTCTTGGAAGTAAACCTATGTTTATCAATGAGAAATTTACCTTTGTTACTTAACCAAATCTGGTTCAATGAGTACTGGCTATGGCAGGATTGAGGGTAAGGATTAAATCAATTTCTTGCATTTTCATACCCAGCAAGATAATAAATGAACTAATAATCCTATCACAGCCAATTCAGAACCGAATGAACAGGTTTGCTTCTAATAATTTTCTTTAAGTTCCAGTAATTCATAATGCTTTATTTTGGATTTCTTACACAAAATGATATACCAAGTTGGGGTCTAAAGGTAAGCTAAATGGTCTGAAATTCTCAAAAATAGTGCTAGAAATGTCCAAAATCATGATTCCCTCATCTATTGTGTCCAAACCTTGCTGTTGGAAATCTTGAATTCTCCTAGCCCTCCTTATCCCTTCTTTGCTATGACATTTTCTCTAAACGAAATTATTTCCAGTACAACCTGGTCCTTGCATCCCTCAAGAAGGTTGACAAACTTTGACCCAAAGAAAGGAATAACTTGTTCATTCTGGCAGAGGCTATAGAATAATTTACCCAAACCACTACGATTATCAAGTCAATATAAGTCTTGAAGAATACTAGAACAAATTTGAAGAACTTGATGGGAGAATGACAAACTTCAACTAAACATTTCCTACTGAAGTCTTCTGGCCTTGTCCAGAGGTTAAAAATGGACTATAAATTAACCTTAAGAGTGACATTTTAATGTGCAGATGGTAGCGAGTTAACAGGGAGAGTACATAAGGTTCTTTTCCATTTTCTGTACTTTTGTTAGCAATTGAAGCTTGAGGTTTTTCTTAAAATTTTTTAGAAATTCAATTTAGGTGAATCATTGATGGAAATTTCATAATACAAAAATTTGCCAAAGCCGGTAATTTATTTGCAAATTATTTATTTCTTCATTTGAGAATTTAGGAATTTCTGAGGATGTTTTCTTTTATGCCTTTCAGAAGATTCTTCAGCAAAAATGTTCTAAAAATCTCATAGTTCACTGAAAGATTCCAAATTTCTCTCATAATGTTCCTGAAAAAGTCTGATAAGAAAGAATGATAAAGAACGTTCGGGGATATATATTATGTTCTAAATCTGAGCTGGCATTCTAAAATAGATTTAGTAAATTTGAAAGAGCCCTTCTTTTTACCTTTGATTTTACAAGGCTGGTCTCTTTATGCTGCTTCATCAGCAAGTGAGCAAGGAGCTCGTTAATATTTATCATTAAAATTCAAACAAAGGCTTTGAGTTTATATAAAGTGATTCATTTGGGCCTAATTTTGGTATATATCCAACTATTCAAATGTTCATACCGATGCAGTTAGCATTTATGATTATCATAGTGTTCCTCTGAACTCTTCTCTACTTGGCTACCTCACATCCTCTCTAATAATCTCTTCATCGTCATCATTGTTTGATGGTAAAAATCTGAAACAGAAAAGTATTTCAGCTTTTTGAAATATAGCACATATTTTTGAACTTTTGTCCCAAAACGATATTTTAAGTTAACTGGCTTCTTGAAAAATACTCACAATTTATTGTGAAGATTCAGAAAGTAATTATCACAGTTTGAATAAATTTTCGAAAGAATTTCTGAGGTTATTTATCATCATGGAATAGACGAGTTCCAGCTGATGATGCCTTCATCTAATATAATCTGGAGTATCACTAACTGGGTAAGTGATATCATAAAAACTTTGAGACAACTTTTAACCCCCCAGATAGCTCCCTTCTGAGATTTCCCGTTGGAATTAGTTAATCTATACTCTTTAGACAATGCTCTCTACATAAGTTAAAGAGATGCAATTGTAAATTTACTCCAATTTTGCCATACGAAATGGAGTTTACTCTAAACTAAAGTTTTTGATGCTTTAAATTTATTTCATAAATATTTTGACAAATATGGGGTCTTCAATGAGCAAGGCAAAACACGAAGAAGAGTTATCAAGAAAATTCCTAAATAATTCATGAATCGATTAAATAGTATAGTTACAATAATTGAAATGTTAGAAGCACTAAAATTTGAATTTCACATGCATAAAATCTTCTTTTGCTAGATGCCCACCAGAGATATGAACAGTTTGATGAATGCTTCTAGCTGGTAAAAACTTGCCCAGCGAATAACCATCACTGAAAATGTATCATCATTTGGATTTTTCATAAAAGGATTCGTTACTAGCTCTTCTCTGGCTTCATAATTGAAAAACCTAGGTCTAATCCTCAAAAGAAGGCTAAGACATCTTGATGTCCTTTATAAATCATCCAAGGTAACTCTAGGTGGCTGTCAACTAATCCTAAACCAAAGGTTGGTACTTCTTAAACCTAGACAAGAAGTATTCAGAGGTTTCGAAAATTAAGGCTGTCGACAACAATACATGTTATAAGGTTCTCTTTTAGGCCTATAATTTCTTCAATAGACATCTATGAATATTTCTGAGGCATTTCTCCTACCGTAGTTTATTTTTCGGATTAGTAGAAAGACTTAAATAAATTTTACCAAGGTTGGATTTAATGAAGAGATATACACATTGTTGCGCTTAGAAGTCAGAGAGGATTCTTAGTGAATTTTAGTCCGGTCTTAGGGCAAATTATCTTCCAGATTTGCTCCAACAAAGCGGTATAGATATGCTTTGTGTCTCCAAAGTATCTATTTTGTTGATGAATTCAGTTTGTTCACTAAAAAGCTTGAAGTCCAAGAGCATTTTTGAATTTTCAGAATACAAAAGAGCCTGATGAGTGCTATTAATTTCTATCATTTTCCCAGATTTTTACTCTAAATTTTCAGATTCTCAGCTAAATATCTTATAAAAAGTATTCCAAGAGTTTTAATGAATTGGTAATACTATAATTTGTGTTAGCCATATCAATTACCAACGAAGGATTAAGGTTGCTAGCAAAGAACGACCAAGAAGAAGTAGAGTAGTAGTTCTCTTAAAGGTTTTATGCTATAAATATTCGCTTTTTAGATAATTTCTGAGAGTATCAGAGGTCACAGGATGGCGAATCCACCCTTGTATTGTTGCTCAGCCTAAACTCCATTTCAACATAATAAAGTTTATATGGGGTTTTGGGGTTTTGGGGTTTTGGGGTTTTGGGG